TTTCTAGTCAGAGCACAAGGCAACTCTCCTTTATAAATCCCTTAGCTAATGAGCCAAAAATGAGGTTTTATCTTTTCTGTCTTTTTTATCTTTAACTTTTCTGTCTTTGTGGAAGACACCAGGAAGAGTTTTCAAGCCACCGGAGGTAGGTGTACAGACAGGCTTTTGTTCAGGAATGCAGTCCCTGTTGCGGGCTAGCCTACGTGAGCTGTGCATAGCATACTGCCAAGGTCTTCTCTGAGCCACTCATGATGCCGAGATAAAACGCTGTTTTCTCTTGAAGGAAATGTCCAGTTTAAAGAGCCTGAAACTAAGACACGGTCATGTTGCAGGGTACCAGAGGGTCTACTTTTGTCTTTTTTTTTGTTGTTGTTTTTAAGCCCATCACTGAGGGTGTGTGCTGCAGGATTGGAGGGGCACTGTGAATGAACACGTTAAAACGCAGGGACTGCTGGGGCACTGATGGCAACATACTCAGTGTGGTACACATACTGTCTCTCTGCAGTAACGCGTTTTCCTGATGAATAGAAAAAGGTGGCTCAGTTCAGTAGAGAGCCAAGGACTGAATTCATCCATTCATCCATTCAAGCACTGAACATGGTTTGTACCCAGAAGCAGACCACCAAGCTCTCAGTATTCAGCAGAAATCTCAGCGACGTTTCGAAAGAATTCTGGGAGTTTTTCAAGGCACATTTTTAATGATCAGCATTGGAGAAGAAAATTCCTGAGAAGTAACACTGATGAAACATGGCTTACTGAAATGCTGCAAGGTAAGGAAAAAAAAATTTCACTGTTCCAGAAGTGAATCAGGATTTGATCATGTCTGTTTACTTCGCAGTCATGCACAAGGACATCAGGCTATCCCATAGCTGCTCCTCTGACAAAAGTGTGCACAAGCTACCTAGTGCACTTTGGTGACTCCAGCTCTCAACCTAAATAATCTGTCCTCTGGTGAACAAGGAGGTCTCAGTGTCCCTCAAGAAAATGGGACCCTGTCTTTGGATGTAGGCTTCCAGAAGTCACCCACAGCAGCACTCCTTCCAGGTCTGGAGCTTTGGCATTCACTTTTCTGCATGTGTATGACTCTGAACAAGCTCAGCAATGTCTAGAATAAAGACACAAGATGCCCATCGCTTCTTCCAGGGTTTCCTCGCTGGTTCAAAACTGGCTTCCTACCTGAATCCTCTTGGACCCAATGAGGCCTGCGGGAAAAGAAGAGGTCAGGGGCAGGCTGAAGTGCCTGTCTGGGTGCACTTTGGCTGCAGGAATGGGATGACTCCCTGCCCAGCAACTGCTTTTTCTTCTGGTGGGGGGGTGCTTCCTGCAGGGGGACACGGAAGCCTTCCTCCACCCCCACCCCTACCCCCCACCATCTCCCCGTGGGGCAGGCGGTACTGGGCAGCACCCCCTCCCCTCCCCACCCTGTGCAGCACTGCCACAGTTCTCACCCCAAGACACCCCTGCCACACACAAGAGGCCTTTCCCAGGCAGCATCCCCAGCTCGGAGCCCCCAGGATGGGGCCAACCCACAACATGGTCTCTATTATTGCCCCTCACCTCCCCCCAGCCTGGCTCCCCCATCCGGTCCCAAAAAGCACCCTCTGTGTGGGTTCCCCATCGCTCCTGCTTTCCTCATGGCTCCACTGACCTCCCAGAGCTACCCAGAACCTGTAGCACTCCTTCACCCAGTGCCTTCCACCCATCCCAGCAGGCAGGGCTGGCAGCACCCCTGGTTCCCAACCATATATCCCTAAGTGCACATTTGGCAGCATTCCCGTTCCCGGAATCCACCCAGGCACTGCGGCAGTGACCGCAGCTCCCATCCATCCCTGACGTGTCCCACAAAGACCAACCCTCCTCCTCCTCCTCGCGGGTCTGTGAACATCCTTTCATGCTGCAGCTGACAGGTTTCAGTCCCCGGCCCGTTCCTGTGTCTGTCTGCTCATTGCTCCTGCTGCTGTCTGCTGTTCCACGGTGAGTGCATTTGTCTGTGCATCCATCCTTCCTTCCCTCCATGTGGAAGGATTGCAGACCTGTTCTGCGTGCATGCGTGCATTTGTCTGTTTGCGCTTGCTGTACCCTGGCAAAGGCTTGGAGGCTTCTGTGTGTCTGTCTGTTTGCGGCCCCATCCTGCCAGGCCACTTAGTTCAAATGGTACCTACACATTTGGGGTCTCTAGGGTCAAGGATAGCAGGCTAAGGTCCAAATTCACAACGAGACACATGCACGGATCATGATATTTGTAAATCCAGTCTATTTCCTAACAGAAAATAAAATACAGGAACACAGATATGCAAGCATATGAATTTTGTTATTGGGATCCTTAAAAGCAGTTGCTGGTAAACCAGGATTTCTACTATGAACAAAGGATCATATCTTTGGTCTTTTATTATTTTAGCAACTCTCAGTTTCATCAAATAGGGGCTACCTCCCCAGGAATTCCTCTGACAAAGGGGTCATCCAGAATCCGGAGGATTATCCAAGTACAGATTAAAGAAACTGACAGCAAGGATGGCTGACTAAAGACAGAAATCTCTGAAAGCACCAGAAAGAGTGCGAGCGTGCTTTCTCATATGAGTAAAGTGAGGAGAATTATACCTGTCCTTACGTTTGGTGGTGAGTGAAGTCCGAGCCCGTGGTGTTGGGTTTGGACCCGTTGACTTTCCTTCCTTTCTTTTTTTCTTTGACTTTTCTCACTCTCTGCTTTTGCTCTGCGCAGACCCCAGACTTACAGGAAAAACTGACGTTCATTCTTGTGGAGTCGTTTGAGATTTACACGTATTAAGAAAAAGGGGCCATTAACTCAGAAGGTCTATCTGGGGCAGCGCTGGCATAGAATAAAAGACACAGCTGTTAAGGCTGGGCTGAGTCAGGGGAGCGGGAGATGCTTCTTCGCCTGGGAACAAAAGGGAGGTTCCCGAAAGCCGTTCCCTTGGAAATCCCACCCCGAGCAGGATCAAGAGCTGACAGCTCCTCCCAGCTCTCTTGCTGCTGTTACCGCCATGCCTGGCAGGGAACTGCGTAATCATGCATCGCATCCTCCCGGCTGCAAGGTTAGAAAGACTTACCCTCCACCCCGATTTTGTTAACAGTCATCACTTCAGTCCTGAGGTAATGGGGTGGATTTCCATGCATGAGGCTTACGTCTGCCCCAGTACACAGCAGAGCCGTAACCGCTGCTTACTACACCGGCTGCTCAGCGTTACAAGCCGCGCTGGAGAGGGGCCGCCCCTTCCCTGGGCTTGTTTGCAGGGAGGGGGACGCAATTAAGGCAGGCGCCTCTTCCCTGTGACCGAGGGAGGGGCGGCGGCGGCGGGGGCCCCGGGGCTGCGCGCTTCCCTTCACGCCCTCTCCTTCGCCACCTCCACCGCCGGCGGCCGCGCAGAGATGCTGTTGCTGCAGTCCTGCCCCATCCCCGCCGGCGTCCCCGAGGTCTCCCACCCCCGTTCCCCCCTCGCAAGCGGCTGGTGTCTCAGCGGTGCCCGGGACGGGCCGCCCCTGCGCCCCGCCGTTTGCTGCCCGGGACCCCCCTGCGCTGCTGTGCCGGCGGCTCACCCAGGGCCGCTGCTGCAGCGCCGAACGGCCCCGTGTCCGCTCCAAGAGCGTCAGCAACAACCAAACACAACGCAAGTTTTCCTTGCCTTTTCCTTGCGCTACCCCGCGTTTCCTGGGACGCGTTAATACTTCAGATAATGCATTCAGATAATTCTGCCTCACTTTCCCAATTCACCAGGAAAAGCATCTGGGCCAAGTTTCTTGTCCCCCCTCGCACCGCCTTCACTCCTCATTCATTCCTTTGCCCCATTCTCACCCCCTCTTTCTGTGCCCTCTGGCAACCCCCCTTGCAGGGCTTCAGGAATTAATCTGAATGTATCTATTTTAAATACCTACATTTATACGTAATAATCTTGAACTGAAACCTACTCTTGTGCTAAGAGCAAGAGGCTCTTCCTCTTATTTAAATTTAGGGGTGAGATTTAGTTGTTGAAATGTGGGTGTCTAGTATCATTTTAGATGTCCTGTCATTTCCAAGCTAGACGCAGGATGCCAATATGTATAGCACAGGACCTATGGGAGACAGCTAGATGGGATTTCCTCACCTTTGCGAGGACAACTCACCCATGCCAGGGCTCCTTGCTGCAAACAACCCTCCTGTCCAATGTTTTGACAACTGAGTTAAGGCTCTGTTCCATGTTGGAAGAGTTCAGACCACTGACCTGTACACAGACCATTGACCTGTACACAGGTTTTAGGTGCCTAATTGACAGATCAGTCACAAACCGGGCACTTTTTATCATCCTCTCCCTCACATTCCACGAAACTGCATTTGCTCATCAATTCCTCCAACACCCTCCTGCCCCTCACTTCCCTGGATGTGCATCCATGCATCCTAAGTACAAATTCATTCATCCATTCCCCCTCCCCAGCTCCCCATATGGTCACCGTTTCTGCCATTCACTCCTACTGCCACTAAATACAGCCGCCTCCAACTATCCAGCTACTCTCCTCACACAAACCCATGCATTCCCATCCTCCCAGACTGTGCTTTGCCTGCTCTGTCTGTCCACCCTTCTGCCCATTTCTTTCTCTGTCAACATTGCTACTGGTGTCCTCCAGGTGCAATTGTCACTGCTCAGGCCCAAACTCATGCTGTGCCTTATGTCTCAGGCTGTGACCCATCATTGCTCCCACCTTTCCTGTGCTCTAATCTGAATTAAGCACCAGCACCCCATTGAACCCACAGGCATTTTTGACACCTGCAATTCCCATCTTGGGTCTCTCTCCTACTAATCTGCTACCAGGTTGGTGAGAGACGGGCAAAAAGGATCCTGAGTTGGGACGTGAGGAAGGAAAGAGTCATCTTGGCCCATGTATGTGAGGGAGAGCTCCTTACCTTGGAGGAAGGGATGACAGAGGTGCCCAGTTTTTTTTCACGAGATCCTCATAGCTCACTTTATGCTCTTTCCCACACAGAAGCTGTCTTCAGCCAAAGAGTCAAGATGCGGAAAAGTGGCATCTTGAGAAAAGAGTATGTGCATAGAGGTGAGTTGGGGCCAGAAGGGTGGCATCTGTGAGCAGTGGAGAAGATTTTACCTGGGAGAGCAATGTGCGAAGGAACTGATTTCTTGGGTGGCTGACAGGGAGGCACACGTCACCTTGTTCTGGGAACTCAGGGGCATGTCCTGTAGTCAGACTTCACTTTTTCTGGTTGGCATAGCAAAAGATGTTCTTGTAAGTGTGAATCATCTCACCCATAGTGCTGAAGGCTTTCCAAGGAAACCATCACAAAGTGGGAGGATGATGCAGAAGAGATGTCTCCTAGTGTGGGATGGGGGGCAACACTCCTCAGTACTATGATATTGCATCACCTCTACTGTGGTGCTACATCATCCCCTACTGAATTGTGTTGGGATACCTAGGTACATCGCTTGATTGGTGAGTTGCATCATCCCCTCCAGGTGAACAATACCATCTTCTGTACACCACCCCCTTCCAAGACACTACAGCAACCCCTATGAAGGTCTTATACGTTCCTTTGCTAAAGTGCCACTCTATTCCTACTACATTGTTACTTCATTCTTGACCAAGACACTATTCCAACGCATTTTACTATCAATCAGGTTTGATGCACCACTGATGCCAAACCTTGCCCTAATACAAGATACTCTTCATCTCAAACCAAGGGCAAAGGTATGGAGAAGATTGCCTTTCCACGGGCTGCTGTCATAGCAGGAAGGGAGGTCATCAAAGCCATCTTCCAACCAAATTCAGATCTACACATTGTTGGCCTCAAATAATCTGTATGCTACAAGTATGACAGGTGAGAAAGGGAGGTCAGTGAGAAACACCTCCATTGCTGACAGTGAAAAGGAGATGAGGTGACTTACTATGACTCTACCTTTGATGTCATGCTAAGTGCCCTTGGTATGGTCCCCCCTTCCCTTACAGTAGTCCAAAAGGAGTGGTATATCTGCTTGAGTTGAGAATCAAGCTCATCTCTTTGGAGCATTAGTTTCAAAGCAGGTGGTGGGTCCTGCTCCTCTCCCTGAGATATGGTCTGAAGGTTTGAGGAGCTGCAGGGCACCTCCTGCCATTTGCGTGAAAGTCTATTGTGGGACTGTCTCATGCTATGTGATGGGGGACAGACAGACTCCCCTCAATGCCATGGTAGGCCTGAACTAAGTTGACAGCCTTAGGGACCTTTCACTGCTATTTGTCGGCTTCTGCAACTGGCATTTCTGTGGCAGGTTTGGACACACAACTGTTTCCCACTACAAGCAGACACCTCAAATTTAAAGTTTCCAATGTGCAACCAGAGAGCCTGACAGCTGTTGTGTCTTCCTCAGGCTTATTCCAGAGGGGCATATGGTTCTTTTCTTCCTATCCTTATGTGGAGCTGGAAACTGTGACAGTAAATGTAACCATCCAGGACTTTGTAGCCGATGTGGTGTCTGAGCTGGTTTTCCGCAATACCCAGCAAGTCTCTTGGGAGACCATGTTCATCTTTCCTGCGGACTCTGACACTGTTGTACACACCTTCTACGCTACCATGGGGGACACTCGTATTGAAGCAATGCTCTGGGAAAAGGAGGAGGTACTGGGACTGTGGTGGGAGGGGGTGGTCCGCAGATTGGGATTGCAGTGGGAGGGGGTGGTTCACAGATTGGGATGAAGGGTGGAGGTGAGAGAATGGAGAGACCTCAGTGACACATTTTTCTCCCTCTGTGGCAGGCCCAGCAGCTGTGCAGAGCCACTCCAGGCATGGAGAATTTAAGATACCTGCAGGACCAGTGGGATCTTTGGGGTCCTTTCTTCGTTTGTTTCTTGGGAACCCTGCCTCCTGACAGGGAGGTGGTCATCAACCTGTGCTATGTCCAGGAGCTGCCACTGCAGCCTGATGGAGCTGCCCAGTTTTGCTGGCCACATGAGCTATTCCCCCGTGAGAACTACTTACGTGAGTGATCCCACAGGTGCATCCCCAAGGGAGGAACACATCACTCCCCAGCATCCCTCTGGGGGGGACCCCCATGTCTGCATACGTGCCTCAGTGAGACAATCTGAATCTTCCCCCTTGCACCTCACAGTCAGGAACCCCACGGGTCTCCCCATATATGCCACAGCAAGAGATCCCCACGGATCCCTGTACAGACCACAGTGTAAGTCTACAGATTGACACCCCCCACCCTCACCCCTCCCCACTAAGCACCACAGTGAGGGACGTCTCAGATGCCACATTTCCCCCCTACCAACGACAGACAGTGCCCCACCATAGCTGTCTGCTGCCCTAGGGTCTCTTCTTTCACCTTCTCACACCTCTTTCTCACTGCAGGCCAGATCCTTTCTAAGGAGGAGGTATTCGAAAACCTGCACTTCAGCGTCTGTCTGAAGTCAGCCCATGGTGTGTCCCATATAGCCGTTAACACCAGCCACACCCCTCTGCAATACACGGCTCCAGATCAGATGTCTGCTGAGGTACGGCCCTGCCAGATGCTCGAGTCCCAAAGGGGGAGAGGAAGGAAAGGTCTGCAGCCTGCTGATGCTCCTTAGGACTCCTCAATCCTTTTATTTTCTTCTCTTTCCTCCCTACACCCTACTTGTACTCAGGTCTCCTTGATATCGTCACCCTGGCTGCAGGATCGTCTGGAATTGCTGGTGTATTACAAAGGGTCTCATGCTCTCAGTGCTGTGATGGAGAGGAGAGATCCCAAAGCCCCACCTGGTGAGTGAGGAGGGTGGAAGTGGGCATCAGGGAGAGGGTATCAGGGAGACTGGGGGGATCTGAGGGACTTTTCAGGCAATAGTTCAGAGCTCAGGGCTATGTGGAGGACAAAAGCAAGGAGACAGGGAAGGGGGCTCCAGCCTAAAAATCCTCCTTCTTTTCCCCCACACACTCCAGGCTCTCTGCTGGGAGACCCTGTGGTGATGGTGACACTGATGCCCAGCATTCCTGAGGTGGTGCCCAGTCCAGGCCAGCTTGGGGAATTCCTCTTTCTCATGGACTGCAGCCTCTTCCAGGATGCACAGGTACCACTGGAGGAGGTCCTCAGGGAGGATTTTCCACACCAGTCAGGCCCAGCTGGTGGGGACAGAGGCAAGCTGCTTCATGTGAGCAGATGTTCTGCCTAGCTTCCCCATCTGAGCTCTGCCCATCCCTCCATCTGTCCGCAGAACACACTGCTCTTCCTCCTCAAGAGTTTGCCTCTGGGCTGTTACTTCAACATCTATGGTTTTGGGGCCACTTTCAAAGCCTTCTACCCGTGAGTTGGGGGTGATGATGGGGCAGGGACAAGGGGTAAGTAGAGTATGACTTTTCTAAGTGAAACTATGGGCCAAGCTCTTCCTGGGGGGCGGTTATAGGGCAGGATGTGTCAGGGGCAGTGAGAGGGTAATTCCTCTTTTCAGGGTGCTTCTGTAGCACTGGTCATGAGGTAGGGCTTTTCTAGGGACTGTCTACGTGAGGGTAGCCGTGGGCCAGGTTCTTCGCCCTCTGACACTCTGGGTGTCCTCCCACAGGCACAGTGTGGAATACACGCAGGAAAGCATGGACAACGCAGTGGGGCGCATCTCCTCCATCTGCCCTGATCTGGGGGGCTGTGACCTGTTGGGCCTCCTAAGGTCTATCTACAGCACTCCTCTCCTTCATGGGCACCCCCGCCAGGTATCAGGGGCCAAAGGGTTATGGGGAGGGGAATGGGTGTAAACAATGGGGTAAAGGTAGACTTCAGGGCTCAGGGTGAGATGTTCTGCTGCCGTTTGCACCGGGAGTTGGCATGTGGGGGGCCATCCTTGTGGCAGAAAATGACACCATCTTCGGGGTGAGCAGCATGGGAGGGCCTCTGTGGAATTTGCCTGCACTTGGAGAAGGTGGATCTTCCTTGTGGGGTGCCCCTTTGTGCTAAGAAGTGTCCTGGTATTAATGAAAGGAGACACACAATCTCTTTTCCTTTTTCAAGGCCAGTGGGCATGAGAAAGTAAGGGAGCAAACTGGGAAGGCTTCCTGCATTTCAGGAGGCTATCTTTCCTCTACAGGGGTGCCCAGCCCTGTCAATCTTTGTTTCCCCTCCTCTCTCCCTCAGCTTTTCATCTTCATCCAAAGGAAGATCTCCAATGAAGAGGAAGCTGTCATGGCTGAGGTCTACCGTTACCGGGACCAGCACCGGTAATGGGAGAGCCCTCTTCCTGTCCCCTAACATGCTAATGCACGACCTTCCTCTCCCCCTGACTGTCAGAGTCCTTCAGACATTCTCCCAGATCCTAGTCTTCCCCAGATCTTCTCTTTACCTCAATGGAACTTCAGCAACAACCCCCACACACACTTTCCTTACCTCACTAAGACTGCCTATACTCTTCATCTAGTGGGCCTCCTCTCCCAGTCTTTCCCTGCTCTGCTCAGCACTTTTCCTCTTCCCCCTCACCCTGAAATACCTCAATGTGCTCTGCAGGCCCAAAACCCATTCTCACAATCTCCCTGCCCAGCAGGCAATGTTTCTCACCCGAGAGTGAATGGGAAAACTCTGAGTCAGTTTCATTTCTATGATTAGAAGCATTCTTACCTCTCCAGACTTTGTCCTTTGTACCACTCTTGTCCTTCATGCCTCTCACCTTTGTCCCATCTCTACCCTCCCCCTCTTTTCCTGTACAGGTGTTTCTGTTTTCCTACTAACAGATGTGACAGCTTCAACCTTTCCCAGGCCATGGCCCTGGAGACCAAAGGTGAATGTGTGTGCATCCACTCTAGGATGGACATGGCATCTGAGGTAATGACCCAGCTACCCCTCTGCTCTATTCAATACCTCCCATGGCTCTCCTAGACATGCAAGGCAATCCAAATACCACCATCCCCTCCAACTCAGAGACCCCCTCCAACTTCCCTCCCTGCTCCGAATGGGGAGGCAACCCAAGTGGTCTGTGCTCTCTGCTTCCCCTTACCAGGCAGTGAAATGCCTGCAGCGGGCTCTGCAGCCTCTGGCAAGTGGGATCTCACTACATTGGGACCTTCCACCTGGCCTGGAGGTGTCAATGATCAGAAAAGCTCCTGAGATGATCTTCCAGGGACATCAGAGCTCCATCTATGCCCAGATCCATGGGCAAGCACAGGTGAGAGTGATCTAGGAATGACATGCACTGGGGCAGGGCTTTCTAAGTAAAGTAAGTAAAAGACCTACTTACTCCCTGTCTCACCTTCTCAACACTGAGTCCTTCACCTCTGCTAGACCTGAGAAAGACCACGATCAGGGCTCTGTGAACCCCCTTCTTTCCCCCAGAGACACCACTGCTTCTGCTCCAACCACGGACATCTACTACCTTAGAAGAGCAGGGAGGGAACCTAGGTAGCCCAGGTGCCTGTGCCTTGCAGATGAACATTTCTGTCTGTCTCTTTCCCTTGCATCACCAGGATCCAGAGGTGGGTGAGGGAGCCGTGACCCTTCAGTACCACGTGGGCAGCCAGTCGTTCGATTACACACTCAGGTTCTCACTGTCCCCATCACCAGACGACAGGTGAGAGGGTAACACGCCCACGAGGCAGAGTGACATTGGCAAGGTCTGGAGGAGGGACAGCAGGTGTTGTTTGCTTGCACCCTTCCCACTGTAGCCTGAGGTGGGAAGACAATCTGGGCATCCAGTGCTGCTCCCTTGTCCCCTCTGCCCTGACCTTCAGAGAGGACCTGGGTGACCATTACCCCACTGCCCCCTGCTCTTTACTCCACATGTCCCATGCCCCTCCCTGAGGTGGAACCAAGGACTAATTCCCTGCCCCTGCAGGTTGCCTGTGCACCGTATGGCCATGATGCATCTGCTGTGGAAACTGGCCTGGGAGGGGACAAGCAGCGCAGAGAAGGACTTCCAGCACAGCGCAGTTAAGTCCAGCCTCCGCCTGGGGGTTCCGTCCCCCTTCACATCCTGTGTGGCAGTACGCATGAAACAGAGGGATGCCTGGCACCGTGGTAAGTCCAGAAACAGTGGGGATAGGACTGGGAGGGGAAAGTGGGACTTGTTGGTCTGATGCTTCCTCACCATCTGCAGCCCCCTATTCTGTGCACCTGACCACCCTTTTGCCTATCTCTAATGCACATGAGTCTAACCTCCCCCTCCCTACCTCTCTCCCCGGATTCTTTCCCTCCAGAGTCCTCCATATTGTCCTCTCCCTCCTGCAACCTAGTTCCTTGCCAGCTGCTCTGGTCACATGGCTGCAGGCCTGTGCGGTTTAAGTCCACCAAGTTTTGGATGGTCCAGAAGTGCCAGTTCTGCCTTGAGATGCTTGGTCGCAAAGGCCCTGACACTGAAACACTTACCCAGTTTTCAGCATCCTGTAAAGGTAAGGAGAAACTTCTTAGCTGGGCATTCTCAGAATGTGTTGGACTAGGGCTGAACTCTCTTTCAGCACTTATCTTCTCACCAGACTTTCTGATTGTCATTGTGCTGGGGATGGATGGAGCGACAGACAAAGCAAACTCCTACATCTTGACTCTGGGCTGGAAACCAAGAATCAAACACCTTAATACTTCCCTGAAGTAACTTTATCATAGCCTCCAACTATCCTTAACTCCACACCCAAACACTAAGTTTGTCACAAAATATCTGCATGAATCTTTAGCTTTACCGTCATACAGTTCAGCAAAAAAGAGCCAGCTAGCAGAGATGTAGCCGTTCACACAGCAGTTTCCAGGCTTCCTCTCCTTCCAGCCTTCTGCTTGTCCAGGGCTCATCTTCTGATCTCCAAGGATCACCTGCTGGGAACTTCTTGTGATTGCTGTTGATGAGGAGAGTTAACTTCCATAGACTTGTGCTTCAGTCATCTCTAATGGTCAGCTTCTGCTGGCTGTTTCCTAATCAGGGAGGGTCTATGCTTACTGTCTTCAACAGACTTGTAATGGTGGGAGAAGGTGTCAAGCCCTTTTTCAGCTGGTGTTTGGGAAGCAGCTGTGTATCAGGTAGGCAAGAACACAGAGCTAGCTAACAGAGACATAGCAGTTGTCTCAGCAGTTAGTGCAGCAGGGGTGCAGAGGGATCCAGTAACTGTTCAGGCCTGTGTGGGGCTGAGTGAGGATTGTGCAGCCACACAACACCCTCTCCAGCACTGACTGGTGCATTTGCCCTTGGTACGTTGGAAGCCTCAGTCCAGACAGAGCATAAAAGGAAGATAGTGCTGTCTAGGTCTTGAGCTGAAGAGAGAGGCTGGTGCTTCACCCTGGGCCCAGGGCCGAAGTGCCCACCTCTACGGGAGGTATGTTCTGGTCAAGGCTCGGACTTGCTAACCAAAGGAGCTAAAAGGAAGAAGGGAGCACACTGCACACCATCAGGGTGAATGGTGAGGAGATTGTCCTGGTCTTCGTGGAAAGCCTGCAGAGAAAAAAGCCTGAGTTATGTGAAGCAAGGAGGATGGGACTTCTGGAGGTCATAGTCAAAACGGGGAAAGGTGGAGGCTTGTGGCTTCTGACAGTAGGGGGAAAGCTCCTGCTCAACCTGCAGACCTGCAACTTCAGACTAGGTGTAGTGCCTGGGCACTGTTGAGGACAAACAAAGCCTGTCAGGGGAGGCATCCAGAGCCAGCTGAGCCTGAACCTAGTGTCCAAGCAGAGGGGAAAGGCATGTGATGGTTACTGGAAGCTCTCTCCTGCAGGGGATGGAGGCACCCTGCTGCCAACCCAGCCTCACACTTCAGGAGGAGGTGTGTTGCTCCTCAGAGGCCAGGACCAAAGAAGCTGCAGAGACTGCCAAGGCTTATCTGGCCCTTGGACTATTACCCATCACTGCTCTTCCATGTGGACAGCAATGACACTACCGGGGATAATCTGGAGCATATCATGTGTGATTATGGAGCCCTGGGGCAGAGGCTGAAGGGCATGGGAGCCCACAGGGTGTTCCTCAGTCCTTCCGGTGAAAGGGAAAGGATTGGTAGAAATGGACTCATCCTGCAGGCCAACAGCTGGCTGCATGGCTGGTGTCACAGGCAGGACTTTCACTACTATGACTGCAGGACCCTCTCTGAGGAACAAGGGTTATGGAAAAGGAACAGGATTCACCTGACCATGTGGGAAAAAAGTGCCTTTGCAAACAGGCTTGCAAAGGAGGGCTGTACAGTAGGTGTGTAGCCTTGAGGAAGGGCTACAGTAATCTGAAGAAAAGCGAGGGCACAAGGGGTTGAGCAGATGTGTTTAGGGGGCAGGATGACATCCTCTCACACTTCCCCTGAAAAAGCTGCATGACTTGGGGCCCATCTCAGATGCCTGTACAGAAATGCATGGAGCATGGGGAGCAGAAGAGGAAATCTGCACAGCTGCAGAACTGTAATCTCTTTAGGATGATATAGACCTGGTGGAGTAATTCTCAAGCTTGGAGTCCTGCAATGGATGTATACAGGCTTTTCAGGAAAGATAGGGTGGGAGGCTGAGAAGGATGGGTTGCGTTTGATGCAAAGGAATAGCTTGAGTGCATGGAGATTTACTGGCTCATTACCTGTCCCAAGGAAGAGAGCTTGTGAGTAAGGATCAGATGACAAGTCAGCACAGGTGATGTTGATCCACTGGATTAAGAAGAGGAGGTAGATGAAGCTATCTTTAGGCAGCTGGAGAACACCTCCCAGTCACAGATCTTGATACTCCTGGACAGTTTTAACAAACCCCAATATCTGCTTGAAAGGCAATCTGGCTGGGTGCAAGAAATGCAGGAAGCTGCTGTTATGTACTGAAGCCTATTTTGTGATGCAGGTGCTTGATGAACCAGCTAGGAGAAATGTTCTATTTGACCTGCTCCTCACAAACAAGGAGGAACTTGTTGAAGATGTGAAGGTCAAGGGCAGCCTTAGCTGCAGAAATCATGAGACTGGAGTTTACAATCCTGAGAGGAGTGAGCAACACAAACAGCAGAGTTGCCACTCATGGACTTCAGAAGGACAGATTTTGCCTTGTTCAGGATCCTGTGGGAAACAGCTGTGGAGGGCAAAGGGTCCAACATGGCTGGTTGATCTTCCAGGACCCAGTCCTCCAAGATCAAGACTGATGCAGTCCAGTGGCAGAATCACAAGGAAGTGTGCCAGAAGGCTGGCATAGATGGACATAGAGTTCCTTAGTCAGATCAAACACAAAAAGGAAGTATGCAAAGGTGGAAGTGGAGAGAGGCTACTTGAGAGCAATACAAAGACATTGCCCAGACATGTAGAATCGAAGTTATGAACATCAAAGCTCAGCTGGAGTTGAAGATTGCAAGGGAGGTGAAGGACAACAGGAAAGGCATTTCTAAGCACATTGACAGCAAAAGGCAGCCTAAGGCAAGCGTGGGCATCTTGCTCAGTGGTGCAGGGGACTCGGTGACAAAGGATGTGGAAAAGGCTGTTATAGTCTCGAACTTTTTGGGCTCAGTTTTAACTGGTAAGGTTTTCCCTCAGGTCTACCATGTCTCTGAGTCTCCCAGCAGAGTCTGTAGGAGTGAAGCAGTACCTACAGTAGAAGAAGATAGTTAGGAATCATGTAGGCTGGTTAGACCTACACAAGTCCATGGGATCGCGTGCATCCAAGAGTGCCAAAGGAGTTTGCTGATGCCACTGCAAGGCAGTGACTCTGTCATCTTCAGAAGATCATGGCAACTGGGAGAGGTTCCTGATGACTGGAAAATAGTCAGGCATTTCACCCATCTTCAAGAAGGGGAAGAAGAGTTCAGGGACCTACAGGCCTGTCAGCCTCCCCTGAGTCCCTAGGAAGGATATGGAGCAAATCCCTTTAGAAGGACCATCCCGTATGGGGTTATCAAAAGAAAATCACGCCTGACCAACCTCACTGCTTTCTCAGGTGAGGTAACTGGCATTGTGGCCAAGAGAAGGGCAGTGGATTCGGTATACCCTGACTTTAGCACAGCCTTTGACAATCTCCCAAAGTCTCCGTATCATCAGATTGATGAGATACTGGCTGGGTTAAGTGAACAATAAGGCTGGTGGAAAATGGGCTAGACTGGGGGGCTCAAAGAACAGTTATCAGCGGTTCAGAGTCCAGCTGGTGGCCAAAACCCAGTGCAATTCTAGAGGGATCTCCCATGGTAACAGTACTGTTTAGCATCTTCATTAATGACCTGGACATTAATGCACAGAGTGCACTCCTAGCAAGTTTATGAACAACACCAAATTCGGAGCAGTACGTGCATGGTCAGTGCAGTGGAGGGCAGGGACAGGCTGGAGAAACGGCCTGTCAGGAACTGTGTGACATGCAGTAAAAACAAATGCGAAGTCTTGCATCAGGAATGGATCAGGAATGGAATAACCCTATGCAACAATACAGCACAGGGCACACACACTCAAGGAAATAGCTCTACAGAAAAGGAAGTTGGGGTCCTAGCGGACAACTAGTTGAACAGGAGTCAGCAGCATGCCTTTGCAACAAAGAAAGCCAACCGCATCGTGGGCTGTATTAGCAAGAGTGTAGCCGCTAGGTGCAGGGAGGTGATCCTTCCACTCCAGTCAGCACCGTTTGCTAGCCTGCATCATGGGGTATTGTGTCCGGCTTCTGCTTCCATTACAAGAAAGGCATTGACACACTGGAATGAATCTAGTGGAAGGCCACTAAACTGAGGGAGCTGAGCACATGACACGTGAGGAGAGGCTGAGAGAGCTGGGTTCATTCATCTATAAGAGGATACCTTATTTCTGTCTACAACTAGCTGACTGGAGGAAAATAGAAAGAAGCCAGAAGCAGACTCTTCTTGGAAGTGCACAGCATTAGGATAAGAGGCAACAGACACAAGTTGGAACATGGGAAATACTAAATGGGTATGAGGATTTTTTTTTTTTTTAATATCATAAGGATAATAAAAAACTGGTGGAATCTCCACCCTTAGAGCTATTCAAGACTTGACTACACAGGTACCTGAGTGAGCTGTTCTAATGAGATCTGCTTTGAGTAGGGATTTGGACAAGATGACTTCCTGAGGTCCCTTCCAACCTCTGTATACTTTTAGGCCAGCCTTAAAGGACCCCTAGTTCTGCCCCAACTACTCTGTGCCCGAATGCTTGTTTTTCTGCCCATAAGAGCTGCTCTGGAACTGAGCCATGCCTGGCACTATAATGCCCATGCGCTGTGCTTGACCCTCCTCACTTTCACTCTCTTGTGGTCCAGTGCTGCTGTAGCTCCAAAGAAGTCTTATGCCTTGGAATGTGGAAAGGAAGAACTCATGCTAAGACTGGTGGGTTTAAGAGTGGATGATGGAGAAGGACCCCTGTGGGGCCCTCAACAGTGAACATGAGCCATAATGGGGGAAGTGGCAGGAAGGAGTAACATTAGTGATGCTCATGGGCGAAACTTAGGGTGTTCAGAGAGAATTACACTGAGTAAACTGAAGCATGTAGGACAGATTTTAGGATATTTATGAGGGACTGGGAAGATCTAAGGATGCTCTGGGAGGGCTAGAAAAAGTTCAGGATGCTTATGGAAGCCTGGGAAAAATTGTGAAAGTCCAGAGAGCATGGAGGACAGGTAATTATACCTGGAGAAGGCAGAATTTAAGGTTACTAGCCCTTGCTTATTTCATATGAACTGTGTGAAAGTTTCTGTCTTCCAGAGCAGGAGGCTTCTCCTGAAGAGCAGGTGATGGAAGAACCACCAGCATTTAACATCAGTTGGGACTGGACAGTTTCACCACTGTCAACAAGACTGTGTGACTTCTCTGGGCTCAGGGTAGTGGTGGCACTCCAGAAAGCCAATGGCTCCTGGGCCCTCACCACAGCCCTGGCCTCTGCCTTGGGGCTCAGCAAGGCTGATGTTGAGGGACAAAGGCCCAGTGAGGTAAGCAGATCAGAGGCAGGAGTGGTGCACTGTCATGAGCTGAATCATGAGCAGCTTCCTCTGCTCCAAGTTTCCAGTCTGAGCTGAACTGAGAGGAAGAGATCAAAACAGCCAGCATATAGAGCTTCTCCACTTGTGGAAGGGGGGCGTGGAGGGTGTGGGGTGGAATCAGCAGAGGCACCTGGGGACTTTCTGATTTTGAGGACTTCAGAAGCTTAGAGAGTTTGTGTGTATATGTGGAAGTCTTACTTATTCCACATGCTGGTTTAGGTCTATCTTTCTTCTTATTTCTTCCCCTTGTTTGTTCTGTTTTCCTGCACAGGGTGTGCCGCCAACTGCCTGGGCCACAGTTTTGGCCTTAGCCTGGTTGCACCAGTATAAATGGAAGGTATCTTGGTCAGAGCTTCTGGAGGCCAAAGCTTGCAGGTGGCTGCAGGACCAAGCTGGTAAGAAGATTTTGCTGGGAGGAATCATGGTCTGGGCCTGTCCCACCAATTCCACAGCTGACACCCATTGACCCATGTTCCTCTTTCCCAGTGCTCCTGTATGGCAGCCTATGAGACTGTCAATACACACTGTATTCCCCTGCTGAGTTGTGCTCCCCCTCTACTTTTTCTCTCTGCTTGCAGAGGTCCAGCTGGATGAATGTCTGGAGTCAGCAAATTCCCTGTTAGGCTGCTTTGTGGAGCCCACCGTCTTCAGGATTTGAACTTACCCCACTACTGGGGGTGGGCAAGAAGCTGGGTAGGAACACAGCCAGGACAGCTGACCCAAACTGGCCAAAGGGATATATCACATACCATTAACATCATGCCCTTGTGGAACTGAATGAGTGGCTGGGTGGGTGCATAGTTGCTGTCTGGGGCCAACCCACCGCAGCTGGCTTGTTCACACATTTGCTCTATGATAATATGAGAGTTTGCACTGGCTTCTGAAAAATAACCCTAAATACACGTACTAAACTTTGCTTCATTTTTCCACATTGTGCTTTTCTCTGAGATTTACCCAAAGAGTCATCTGCTCAAAATACATCATCTCAGGGAGAAAAAGCCTGTTCATATACTACAGAAAAACACCTTCTTCATGAATCTATCTATCTGTCTGTCTGTCTGTCTATCTATCTTCCTACCTACCTACCTACCTACTTATGTACCTTCTTTCTGTTTTTTATAGAAATGTAAGACCAATGTTATTTGGTGTTGCAGGCATTGATTCACTCATCTACACAAGCTAGAAGACTTTTTTTTTTTTTTTTAAAGAAGGTTTGTCAAGTAAAGGGGTGGATTTCATTTTATCAATCACTGCTGTGCCTACTGAAGGTGCTCAGTGCCATTTCAGCTGTTCTGAGGTATCTATCTGAAACATCTGCCAGATATTCTGGCAAATACTGATTTTCTGAGGTGACAGCTGGAAAGTGAGTGGAATACCATGTGGCATGGGATTCAGCTGCCTAAATATGGATGTCTAGTGCCATTTATGATGTTCTAGGATTTTCAAGTATATTGGGTTTACATGGCAAGGTTTTCGTAGTGGGGAGGCTGCAGGAGTGACCTCTGTGGGAAAAAATTGCCCTGTGCCAGTCACAGACAGTTCCAAAACAGACCCACTGCTGGCCAAAGCTGAGCCAATCAGCAAAGCTGGTGGCATCCCTGTAAAAATGTATTTAAGAAAAGGTAAAAAATGCCACACAGGCAGAGCAGGAGGGAAAAAAAGAGTGAGAACAGCAGTGCAAACACCAAGGTAAAGAGAGGGAGGAGGATGTATTTCCCTGCAGCCCATGATGGAGCAGATATTCATGCTGCAGCCCATGGAGGACCCTATGCTGGAGCAGATGGATGTTTGCTAAAGGAATTGCAGCCCATGGAGAGGATCCGTGCTGGAGCAGAAGAAAAGTGTGAGGAGGAAGGAGCACCACAGGGAAACTGCCATGTATTGATCCCCCTATCCTCCCATCCCCCCTGTACAGAGGGCGGGGGCAGGGGGTATAGGAAGAGTCAGGAGTGAAGGGATGAAGTTGAGCTTGGGAATAAGGGGACATGGCAGGAGGGTGTTTTAGTTTTTGTCTTTGTTTCTCACCATCCGACTCTATTTTCAATTGTCAATAAATTATATTAATCTTCCCCAAGTCGAGTCTGTTTTGCCTGTGACAGTAATTGCTAAGCAATCTCTCTGTCTTTTTCTTGACCCACAAGCTTTTTCATTTATTTTTCTCCTTCTGTCCTATTGTGGAAGAGGATTGAGAGAGCAGCTGCGTGGGTGTCTGACAGCTAGCCAAGGTCAAACCCTACAAAAAATTCATTGTATTTTAACAGATTTTCCACATCTACACTTTTTATGGTGATTTTTTTGGGTAGCTGAATCTCACACTTAAGATTAGATCAAATTTACCCCATATGCAGGGGTGTTTACAGCATCCAGAAATCCCCCAAAATACTAACACAAAGTTGATTTTCTACCCCAGAACCTCTTAATGGCTTCCTGTACCTCCTTGTTTCTCAAGTTCTATATGAGGGGATTTACCATTGGGATCACAATTGTATAGCAGGTGGAGAACACTTTATTCAGATTTAGGGAGTTATTGGGAGGTGGTAATACATACATGACAGCAAGGATCCCATAGAAAGTAGTAATCACAATAAGGGGAGATGAACAAGTAGAAATGGCTTTCTGCAGCCCCATTGGGGCCACAGAAAGTCAAATTCAGCATCAATGCAATGATCACCAAGGTGACTGCAAAGCCAGTAATTCAGAAAAGAGCTGCCAGTGCTGGAATAATATTCTGGTTCATTATAGCTGTATAATGAAGAAGATTACAGGTAGCTAAATAGCGATCACACACATCATGGCTGGTAGCAAATGTTCAGTTCCTCCTGAGGAGCCAAACATACAACCGTGCAGTACAGTCCCTGAAAGAGAAACTTTTTTTCTGTGAGAAAATTGGTTAACTTCTTTGGAACAATATTGGTTGTATAGCAGATCTCAAGGAAGGAAAGGTAACCCAAGACAAAATAAATGGGGATGTGGAGGCTTCAGTCCACACATACGGTAAGAAGAAGAGTGTTCCCAGAAATGACTACAGGATAAAAGAGCGAGAGCGACACAGTGAGACATCTCCAATGAAAATCCCAGTGGACCAAATTCTGTCACAGAAGTTCTGTTCCTCAAGTCAGCATGCAGAAGGAATCTAGAGGACCGAGACTCAGTCATAAAATGAAAACTCTAGGAATATGTGAAGAACTACTACACTGACTTCACTCCAACCTTGGCAAGAGTTTGACACTAAGCAAACTAGATTTATCTTCTCCACTAAGACAGAATCACTGTAGGTGATTTATCCTCCTTCATGGACAGGTTCTCATCATTCAAGTCAGAATTGACCTTTGACTGGTAGTGCCTGGACTTTTCTACAGACAAACTGCACTAGAGTAAATTTCCCCTATTCAGTTATGTTTATCCATTTAAGCAGTTTTCCAAAAATGTCACAGAATGACGTAACAATTAGGTTGGAAGGAGCTCTTGAGGTCATCTAGTCCAATCTCAATCTCAGGGTCAGGTAGAACATCTTCCAAGACTGTGTCTATTTGGGTTTTGAATATCGCCACAGACGAAAGCTCTACAACATCTCTGGGCAACCCGTTCCACTGTTTGACCACCCTCCCAGTAAAAATGCTTTTTGTCATGTTCAGCAAGTCACTGTAAGAAAGACAGTACTCTAATTTTATTTTATTTTTGTAAGGCTACCAGTAAACTCAAAGGTCATATTCCTGAAACTCCCCTATTGATGTTTGCTTGCATTTCATTTGCCCTTTCTCCCTCCCTTTGGTATCAACAAACACACTAACCAGGAGTTTGCCTCAGGATGGACAGCAATATCTGATTTTCCATCTCTACAGACTTTTTAGGGTTTGGAAATTTGGCTTAAAGGAGTTCAAATGCAATGATTCTGACTGTAGATACTGGTGCTTTCATTTGCAACTGCATAGAGTTATCAGAACTGCTGAAAAATTTCAAACCTTTTTCTTTCCTACTCCATTCAGGACAAAATCTCAGTATGTCTAATTTGAGAATGTTTTGATAAAGAAATCAGTCACTCTGAAAATGATGCTGGAAGTCAAACTGGCAAACACACTTTACTTTTTTCCCTGTAGAAATAGCAATATAGAATATACCTAGATTCATGTCTTTGCTGGTGAACAGAGTTCACGGTAAGTACCTTTTTCATTCGTTTCATTTTTTCATTCTTTTTTTTTTCATTTTCATATAATGAGTGTAGCATACCAAAAACACTTGAAGAAAAGAAAAGATGCATCCCTCACAACTTCATGCGTTAGCCAAGTTTCACTTGTCTTTATTCAAGAAAGTTACATTTTGCTGCAGCTCTTTGTGTGTCTTTTATTTAGAAAGGACGGCATTCCCTGAATGTCCCACCCTAGCAACATTAGAATGGTGTGGTTATGTGCATGCTAAGATCACCCACCTCCGTCTGCAGTTTCCCTCTGAGCAGTAGAAAGCATTGGAGATCATAGAATCATTAAGGTTGGAAAAGACCCTTAAGATCATCGAGTCCAACCGTTAACCTAGCACTGCCAAGTCCACCACTAAATCATGTCCTCAAGCACCACATCTACCTGGCTTTT